GTACACAATGCATAGTTGATTCCTATTTTGAAATCTGTTATTCTCACCATGGCGACCTGTGGCCACTAAGAGAAGAAGAAATACGGGAACGGGGATTGGATAAAGATGGTTTTTTTTTAATTCTTTATTCTCACGATGGCCTCATCGCCAATAAGAGATACGTTTATGAGAAGGTGAGATGCTGTGGGTTATGCAGTTGGAAAGTAATATTTACATCACTTTGAATTTTACAAGTATGGAAGAGGGTGAGCGCTGCAGGAGCAGATTGAGTTAAACTGCAGTGAGTAGACTAGTTGTTGTTGTTGTTGTTGTTGTTGTTGTTGTTGTTGTTGTTGTTGTTGTTGTTGTTGTTGTTGTTGTTGTTGTTGTTGTTGTTGTTGTTGTTGTTGTTGTTGTTGTTGTTGTTGTTGTTGTTGTTGTTGTTGTTGTTGTTGTTGTTGTTGTTGTTGTTGTTGTTGTTGTTGTTGTTGTTGTTGTTGTTGTTGTTGTTGTTGTTGTTGTTGTTGTTGTTGTTGTTGTTGTTGTTGTTGTTGTTGTTGTACTTGTTCTTGCTGCTGCTGCTGCTCCATCTGCTCCATCTGCTGCTGCTGCTTTATCTGCTGCTGCTGCTGCTCCATCTGCTGCTGCTGCTGCTGCTGTTGCTGCTGCTGCTCCTCCTGCTGCTGCTGCTCCTGCTGCTGCTGTTGCTCCTGCTGCTGCTGCTGCTGCTGTTGCTGTTGCTGCTCGTATTTGTTTAAACCCTTTCAGTGCTAATGACGAGATATCTCGCTCTGTAAAGTGTACCTGAACGGCGGAAGACGAGATATCTCGCTCCACGGTCCGCGCAATAGTACAAAGTGCATATATCACTGTACAAACTGTCGTAAGTCATGTCAACGAAGGCCGTTGGAAAGGTATTGAGCTCAGCTTTCCAGTGATATAAAGTTCATTGCGATAGGACTAGATTTGAGTGAGCGATGACGAATAGAATTGCAACAAAATCAAAATACGCTTTCTGGCCATCAGTTCAAACCTTTTGCTCGCAACTCGCTTTTTTTAGGGGATTTCCCTTTGCTACAGCGCATGCGTGTTGGGCATCAAACAAAGCGCTTGCATCTCAGCTTTGCAGCACAGTTTGAATCGTGAAGTTTGGTTTAGTTTGAGAGAGATGGCGAACGAAAATGTATTATGAAGTTGTTTAGCGATTCTGATACATGTAACGGCTTCTTATAGAGCACATAGAAGTGGTGCTCGCATGCCTTTGGAGCTGACAATTGACAGAGAGCCTTCGCTTGGCTCTGGGCTTTCCAACCAGCCATAGATCGTGGAAGTCCACCCATAAATGCAAACGGCAAAAGATTTTGCTCGGCGACGTGCTTACAGGGTCTAAAATGAAAGCAAGTGCGCTGAAAGCTTAGCCGGCAGGGGGAAACTAGGCCAGCAGTGAAAAGGGTTAATATTCGTTCTGGGAATATGCACAATCAACTTTGCTAGTAACGACATCCAGCCGGGCACCAGAATTACCGTATATTCTTTGTTACCGTAAAATCCCGCCAGAGCGCCCCTCCCTCCTCGACGCTTGGGGTGCGGAGGGGCGGATGGGCGAGTCCTACTTACCGCATTCAGAACTGTATATGAACAAGTACTCACCCTACGAGAACTGTTTGTGCATCTCGTAAACCCACCAAAGGTTAAGAGCCAGGAGTCGTACAGACCCGTCAAAACTCAGGTTTTGTGCGATCCCTGGTCAAGAGGGTGGGCACTGTTGCGTACATTTCCAATGGGGTCGGGCACGCGTCTGCAGTACAGTACGGCATCACAGACTGTGACAGAGTCATACGAGGATACAATCAATCATGTCCCTGACAAGAAGTCAGGGAGGGGCGGATGGGAGAGACGGGGCGCTCTGGCGGGATTTTACGGTATAAGCGCTGAGCTGATATTTTTTCAACACCCTTCTATCCCGTGCTTATATTGGAGACCGCGCTTATATGTTTTCAACCAATACATCCATACAGAGCAAGAAGAAATAATATGCTAGATAGTGGATATCATGCATACAGCATTGATTTCCACCAAGACCGTGCTAATAATAGAGACTGTGCTTATAATGTTTCGAAAGGTGCTCACAGTGTGCTAGTATTAGAGACTGTGCTAGTAATGGAGACCTGTGCTTATAATAGAGAATATACGGTATGCCGTTACTGGCGAAGTGTCCTTACGAACGAACGGCCCCGTTTACATGTATATTAACCCATATTTTGTATAGTATGACATAAAGTGGAGTAGCACGGGTAGTCGATACCCGTGCTACCCGTGAGGACCTCGGGTAGACGGGTACAGAATAGTTAGTGGAAATAAAATAAGAAGGATGAGAAAGACAAGAGTTCTTGATGCAGGTTATTGAAAACACAGGAAGCACATGTATTATTAGTATATTCTGTTGGTAGTGGGACGATGCTCAGGCAACAGTCCATCACACCAGACGATATGCTACGGCTCTGGGTCAAGGCAGTCAAGCAAGCTGCCAAAAGGAGGACAAAGAAGGACAGGACAGTGCAGATAACGAGTGGCTACGCTCGAAGACTCTTCAAAGTGGAAATGCAGTCCTAGCTTGATTGCAGTTATTTCTCCACCCGGCGCTGAACAGACGTCGGAACTGTTTTTGCGAGGTTAGCCTCCGCAACAGCCTTCGCAACTCCGACGGTATGGAGGCATATGTCCGCAGCAGACAATTGTACTCTGCATGTATCGACTCGGCTCCTTGTTCGGCGAGAAGGCCCAGTCCGACGCGTACGCGCATCATGCTGGGAGCAACATGCTGCTCTAGCAAAATGCATCTTCGGTGTTATGTGGGCCATGTTGTGTGCCACCAGCTCGGACCTGACGAGGGCGATGAAATCTCTGATGTTGCCACTCAGATCTTGAACTTCTTCTTGGTCAGTCACCTGTATCAGAGCAGATAGAACACAGCGAAGCTCTGCACTGGATATTTTGGATCTACAGTGCGTTTTTTTATAACAGACCATTGTCGATTTTGATTTTTTAGTTTGTTCTCTTTCCAAATTTGAAATTTTTTCTTCACAGCTGCGTTTGTGTGGGTCTTGGATCGAAGAAAATTAAGTTTGGGAGTCGGAATAATAATAATTGTCAAAGTTAGATATTCGGCCGGGTTTCGGCTGGAAATCCGGTTTTAAATGGTTTTCAGTGGATTTTGATTTTTTAAACGGAAGTTTTAGCCAGGAAAGCTCATCACTTGCATGGTGCCCGGCATGAGTTCGAATCCAGTACAGTTTATCTTGGTTCTTTTTTCTTCTTTTCTTTTTCGGTATACTGTAGTACAGCGCATGCATGTACATGTACATGCACATGGCTGTGCAGTTGTGCACTGCTGTCTGCAGTTCTCCTAACCTTTGTAGGAAACCAGTGAGTCGTGGCTTTTCACGACTTATTGTGGCAAACTGTACTGAATAATTCAAGTCCTGTATTGCAATTAGCTCAATAAATCAAAACATTCCAGCATGCATGTTATGATGTAGGAAACTTCCCTCGATCCCTGAAAGAATGCAGTGAAAATACAAACACCACAACAAATCACAAAGGCAATTCACACAGCTCCCATAAAGAGACTAACAAAAAGGAAGCATGAGCAGTTTTACAAACACACAAACACACACAATGCAAATAGGTCACAGTTGTGTCCGGTTCAACATCTGCGAATAGTAGAAGACCAGTGAGGAACGAAACGGCCCCAATAATTCCGTGTTTTGTGTTGCACTTGTGACGACAGTATTACACAGTGAACAGATGTGCTCGGACAGCCGACGACGTATATCATCGTTGGCGCCGGCCTCCAGTCACGAACACATCGGCGCAGTTTTTCACGAATCTGTCCCGTCCACCAGTATGCAGAACAATAACGCGCTTGCCTTTACCTGATGGTGCTTCATTTGGTTGCTTGCCTATACACTCCTGTCACCATTGTCGGACCACCTCCTAGTAACTGTGTGACGCGCATTGACCCACGTCTCATCCAGGTATGTCTCACAGGTAGCGATGCCGCCATGACACAATCCTGTGCTGTTCCATCATTATTTGTGTGATACCTCTGGTCTTGCCACACTGGAATCCCATGGAACGCAACATTTTCCAAGAGCTAGTTTTGCTCATGTCTGGAAAATCGTCGATGGTTTCTCTGCAGCGAGCAGGAACTTTGTCCAGTGTTGGGTCCTCCTTCGCAGCATAGAATCCGTAAATTATTTCTTATACAGTCCAAAGCAAATCCGTCAGGGTTGAGTGGTTTCATGGCACGAGTCTCACATCGGGGATTGTCACTCTCGTTGCCTTCATCACTGGAGACAGACAAGGCCAACGCAGCACGCTGATTTTCGCCGTCAGCATCCCTGGTACATCTGTTCATGGTGGAAATGCTGACGCCACACGCAACAGCAGCATGACGAATGGAATACTTGGGACCAATTCGATGCCCAGCCATTGTTCTCCTCGTCTTCGCAACAAATTGTAAAACAGACACCACCATGTACCATGGCCCGTTCGCGTTTTGTTATAATTATGTGGCATGTCGAGAGAACAAGTTGCCACGAACGAAAAGACACTCGAGAAAAAGCAAAATAGGACCACAGAGCACTCAGCAACAAAATGATTCCTCCGGCCACGAGGCAAGAAGCTCGAAGGATACTCTGAACAAGATGGCGAAATGCCACGAGTCACACCCGGTTTTTCGAATTTCGCGCGCAGATTTTCGTGACGCAACTCGCATGACATTTTCTCAAAAGTGTCCTTGAGTACGTTCTCAAGGTTTTCAGAGTCTATTATAAAAAAACGCACTGTAGTCAACTTCACGAGCAAAGTCTCCATGAAGAATTCCCAAAGTCACTTGTGAACGGTATCCACGTGCGAGCAAGTTATGGTATCATGTCAGCGGAAGTAGAACTGTGAAGTCTCATAAGATACCACCATGGGCAGCAGGAAAATGGTCTTAGTATCTGAAGTACTTCTTA